TGTATGTATGAAGTATGTGTTTCTGCAAATAAACCAGTCTATATAATAAAATCGTATAAAGATGTAAGGCATATTAAAGAAGAAACTCATTGCTTCTATTCTTTATGCATGCGTTTTCTGTCCCACTACATACATGATACTCTTTACATCACTAAACACACATTCCTCCCGGCTCGGGAGTTTTGTACACAGACGTCTCCAAAACTGTGATGCCTGCTTCAGATAGACTCTTTATCACGAATTCGGGGTCGAGACAGAGATCATCCAGGACCTTTTTGCCTTCTTCAATATAATAGGTGACTCCGATGTACGCCAGAAGGATGAAGTAGCCTCCTGGCTTTAAGAGGGTACAGATGTTTCTTACTGCACGGGCATACGTTGACCTAAATGCAAATGTGTAATGAAGATAAAGATTAAATCTATTTCTTTTTGTATTTTTAGATTTATATAACTCTTTTGATAAATCAACTTTCAAATCAAATCAACTTTATTGCTCAACAACTGTAGCTGGTACAATGTATGGCAAAGAACACAATGGTACATACATCAACTAATACTAAGATATAATTCTAACTAGCTAGTCCATAATGATACTAAAGCTAATCTATTGTGTTTTCTTAGGAAGAGTATTATTACATTCTGTAATTCAGGGGATATATCAGCTATTTACAATCTGGTGTCGCTTTTGTAGTGATTCGAATATGAATTTTCCAACGTACACTGATATCTGAGTAGGACATGAAAGGAGAGTATTAAAGATATCTGATTTTGAGTGAGGTAGCGTAACATTAGTTTTGGAAGCTATGGATTGCATCAATTTTTGTCTGTTTTCTTCATATGTTGGACATGACATCATAAAGTGGAATTCGTCTTCAATACCCTCCTTGCATGTCGGACACAATCTCTGATCGGCTGGTGTGTTATAATGACGGCCCTTTTCGATTTCCAGGCCATGTGAACTTATCCTCATTTTAGTTATGCTTGTCGTAAAAGATTCGTTTTGAATTGATGATAGATACTTTTCCAAGCCGAAGTGTTTTTTAATTTTAGAATAAGTATGAAGTTTATTGAATTTTCTTATTTCCTGCCACCAGCCAACTAGAAATGTATCCTGTAAACGTTCCTTGAATAAGCTTCCAAACTGGTTGGCATTAACCCTTGGGTTTAGCCAGACATTTTGGAAGCCGTGTCTGCACAGTAAGTCCTGTATGTGGACTGTCCAGTCATGGTCTAGTTCGACAGCAGCATCATATGCCTTCTTTACAATTCTGTCATTATATAAATTGGTTAGCCTAAGCCAGTATTTGATCATTTGTGTCTGAGCATCAATGTACAGTGGTAAGGTTCCTAGCTCCCCCCTTACAGCGGAATTGACAGAGCTCTTTGGAACATGGAGAAGTATTTTATAGAAATTTAACAGAACATACTCTAGGTCAGGAATTTCATAACATATCGTTGGTGGTTCTAATGTTATGTTTTCTAATATTTCTGAGTGATATATCAAATTAAGTTTGTCACTATATCTTTTAAAACGAACGAGAACGGGGCGAGGAGATAAAGGGTCAAGTTTCTTCCCTATGCGGGAAGTTCTAAGGATGGCGACATCTGGTGCCAAAATTGGACCAAGAATGTTAGTTACTTTTTCTCTGACATTTTCGTTGGGACATTCTTCTATTCCTTTCAGGATCAAGTCTCTACATTGTGAATTTGTTCCTAAGACTTCACTACAGTACAACAAAATTGGTTTTACTAAAGTGTTAAACAGGTCGAGGGCAAGTGGGATGGAGGAGTTGGAGTTTGATGATAAGAGTGATTTTAATTTGAATGAAGCCCTTAAAGCTTTCAATCTTAGTTGTTTTATAGCTCTATTAAATGAACCTGACGGGGTTACATCTATTCCTAGATATGTATAGTGGTTAGTAATTTCTATGTTTTGGCCCTGTGTTTTATATGGTTGGTGTTGGTTTTGTTAATCCGCCCGTGTTTTGAAATNTCATAACTTTGGTTTTGTCTTTGTTTATTG